GCAGGCCTCCATGAGGGAGCTGGGGTTGCTCATCTTCTTCCTGTTCATCGGGGTCATCCTCTTCTCCAGTGCTGTTTACTTCGCAGAGGCTGACGATGACGATTCGCTCTTTCCCAGCATCCCGGATGCCTTCTGGTGGGCAGTGGTTACAATGACCACGGTAGGTTACGGGGACATGTACCCCATGACTGTGGGGGGCAAGATCGTGGGCTCGCTGTGTGCCATCGCTGGGGTCCTCACCATTGCCCTGCCTGTGCCCGTCATTGTCTCCAACTTCAACTACTTCTACCACCGGGAGACGGAGCAGGAGGAGCAAGGCCAGTATACCCACGTCACTTGTGGGCAGCCTGCGCCAGACCTGAAGGCAACTGACAATGGACTTGGCAAGCCTGACTTCCCCGAGGCTAACCGGGAACGGAGACCCAGCTACCTTCCTACACCACATCGGGCCTATGCAGAGAAAAGAATGCTCACAGAGGTCTGACCAATGAAGGCAGGGCCTGCAGGAGGGGAGCACTGAGCTAACAGTCTCTTAGGCTTCCTTCTCATTTTCACTACTCACTCTAGCTTCAGTTGACTTCTTGACTCTCTCCCCCTCACCCACTACCTGGCATCCAGGACCAAATACCTGGACTATCAACCTTGTTGCTTAATCCCTTGTTGCTTAAGCATTCAAGGTGAATCCATCTAAGTGACATTTTTAAAATTCCAGCGGTGCCACCCAATCATGCCCATCTTCTGTCATATGGATGAGATATACATTTATGTCTGACCTTCCCTCAAGACTGATTTTTCATGTCTGGGACTTACAATATCTCTAGGAACAGCAATGTCAACAGGATGGAAACCAGCCATACCTAAGTCTTCGCTCCCTCCTTAGTGTTCTTTGCTTTGGGTCATGTGCGCTTCCTAGCTTCAGGCCGCTTGGTAACTGGAAGAAGCTGGAGGACAGAAGCAGTACTCAACTTGCTGTTATTCCGGAGCCCTGTAACACCCGCTCGTCATCCTGCAGATGACCCTTGGTAGAGTCTTCATTTGCACAGCCTCAAAATAGATTATTCATTTCTAAACTTGGCTGGAATTAGAGAAAATACAATCAAACTTTACCACTTGGAGGACACGGGGGTTAGTCCAGGACCAAAGGGGCCATGGATTTTTCAAAGTGTGGCTCAGCACAAGAGGCACTGGTGTTTGGTCTACATTTGGTCCTCCCCACTCTGATCCCCTGACTCTCTAGCTTCCAGGAAGGTTCCTTCTCAGAGCCAAATACTCTTTTTGTGCAAGTGCCTTCCTGAGCAGAAGAACTGGAGAAAGGGAGCCACAGAACCAGGAGGGATGTCTGAATAGAGTCAAGCAACTGGCTTGACCACAGTCTGAAGCAAGGTGCCACTTAAACAGATGCTGTTTTCTCAAAGGGGCAGATGGCAGCCTTTTCTCCCTCATTTCCCCCAAATTTTCTCTAGCCCTCTACCTTGCTTCCTGGGAATTTGATTTAGGATTGCTGTTGGAGGCTTCCTCAAGCAAACTCCAGCTTAAAGCCCTAGACAGGTAAAAGCACACATTGGATGGCAGCATGGGTTTCTTCCCATTTTATGGGCATGAAATAGGTGGTTTAGAATAAGGAGCAAGTGTTATTCTTTTGCCAACAGCCTCACTCTAAGAGGTTTTTTTGCTGAGTCAAGCAAACACTTGCCTGCTCTGCCCCTTGGAGCTGCATTTGGTCTGCTCTCACTGGTAAGGTGACGTGGTGGCGTTCCCACTTGATCTAAGCCATTTTCTTCCAGTGTGAGACCACTGCCATCTATCCACTGGCCCACCTACCCTCTTTTCTCTCTCAGTAACGTTGCCATTTGTTTTTTGCCTTTGATAAACTGTGATGTACTGTTCTGAGTTCTTTTGGGTGCAGTTCTGAAACTGAAAGGACTGTTAACATGTTTTTAATTTTATATCTATGCTTTCAGACTCTCTGATGATAATTTTTTTAAAACATTATTTTCTCGAAGACCAGCTTAGGAGAGGACAGCCTTACGAGGGTTTGCTTGAGAGGCAGTGTTGCTTCTGTGACTGCCAGATCTAAATCTCGATCTTGCCATAACTTTACAGGGTAACTTGGGTCCACAGTCCCTCTTTGTGCCTCAGTTTACCCACCCATTAAATGGGAACATTATTGTCTTCCCCCTCCCTACCTCATGGGGAATGTCTGGGAAGCTGGGGACATTGCTATGCAAATGTGTGAATCTTAGTCATGGATTTGATTTTTAGTTCTCTCCATACCCCCATAGGCAAGGCCTTCCCCCAGAGTTCCTGCCTTGGATCCAAAGCCTAAGAATAGGCCATTATGGACCATTGGCTCCCGAAATCCCTCCTTGGCCTCTTGGACTGAGCCCCTCAGCCTTTCTTCTTACCCTTCAGAAAGGAGGGTTCTTTTTAGATATGTTCAGGGGGATCCTTCCATGGCTGGAGGTCACCTTGACTAGGAGCTTGGCTTCTCCAAACCTGAAACACAGTAGAAGATAGAGATGTTTATGATGCACAAACCTGCTCTGAGGTCAGAAAGTGCTAGTTTTCCAAATCTCTCCCATTACTGCTGGCTATTTGGGGGAAGAAGAGAAAAGCCCATTCCAGAGGCAGAAGGGAAGCTCCCAGCCGAGGGTGAAAGTTGGGACATGTATGCATGTATCTCTGTATATGTGTATGTAATCACCCTCATCACCATCCCTGAGAAAACGTTTCCTTTTCAAGTCAGAGCACGCTTGAAAGGGTTTGTGGAGAGCCCAGCTCACCAGGGACTCTGGTTGCCGTAGCAACCTTCCAGACTGTTCTCTCTATCTTCTGCTTTGGGCATCAAGGGAGACCAGGGGACTACATCTTTCCAGCTTCTCAAATGGGAGCACCTCCCACATAGTGGCTTAGGGGCTGGGAGTGCCAGGACAGGGATGTGGGACTTTTGGAAAATGTGGAGGAAGCAGGGCCTCAAAGCCTCCTGTCTGGACTTTTCTTCCTAGTTTCCCCACCCAGTCATTGCAGCTGCCTCATCTTACTCCTGATTCTTCAGAAATTTGAATGTTAGGCAACCAGTTAAACCAACGTCAGTGTTAATTTTTTCGAGCTGTCGAGGGGAGCCCTTAGACGGGACAACTTCTCCTTGGAGTGGCAGCCAGGCTGGGCCTCACCAGGTGAGATCACAGTCTTAGGGATCATGGAGTTCCCGTCTCCGCAGAGGCAGGCTCTTCCCAGCTCCACGAGAGGCGGAGAATTGCAACTTGTTCCTCCCCGGGAACAGTCTATCTCGCTCCTGGGAGGAATCTCAAAGATCTTTCTTCTCAAGACATCGAAGAAAAACGGAGAGGCTGTAGCTCGACCAAGTTTCTGGGAAGAATTTTGTCAAGTGATCCTTCTCTGACCTTAAGTCTCTTTATTTGGATTTTGTGCCCTGAGCACCAAGAGAATATGCACTCTGTGGTGCTCGGACAGCTGGGGTGGTCATTCCCAGGAAGGGTCCAAGCCATCGCTACACCTGACTCAAGCTGGAAGGAGCTCCCAGAGGACTTCCTGGCACTGCCAGCCTCAGCCTGAGATGCGGGATATTCGTCCCCACGGAGCGAGGAGGGACAGCGCGCCGTCTTTGCAGGTGAGGTAGGTTCTACTGGAGGGGAATTTTGTTTTTGGCTCAGTCCTGCAGGCAAAATTAGAACGGGGTGGGGAGAGAGAGAGAAGGTGGGGAAGCGTGCATCTGGAGAGATGCAAGGGTTTCATTCTCCTTCCCTCAGGGGCTACCTTGCTTTTTCTGTGTATTTTTCTTTGACTCAATTGACTTCGGTTTTCTTTTTCTCTGTTTCTGTCCCCTTGATGCTGCTGGCCCCTTTAAAAAATTCTCTCTTTTTCTGTGCATTTTTCCCTTTCCTTCTTTTCATTCTTACTGTCTCTGCCTTTTTTCTCCTTTCTCTAGTTTTCTTCCTTCTGGTTTTCCCCCCTCTGTTGTTTTACCGTCTTCTTCCTTCTATGTGTGTCTTCCTGCCTATCTTTCTCCCTCTCTCCACCTTTTCAGCAACTGGGAGCACCTAGAGTGCTGACGGCGAGGTTGCACATTGAAATCTAGGACAGCTGTGCTTACTAAGGTCTGTCTGGAGCAGGAGTATTCCACTCTTTCCTGACTTCTCACTCTGCCATTCTTTCCTACCATGCTTACCTCTGTGGGGGCAAGTCCTGAACCTACCAAGCAAGAGGAGACTGCCGTGGGCTCAGAAAAATGTCTCCCAGAAATTTCCTGAACCTGCAAGCATAAATGAGAGAAGGCAGGCTGGGAGGGAGAGAATGACCCTGAGAAGTCTCAGACGAATCCTCTGCTGAGTAGCCCTGGACCACCTCAGGGTCTCCAAGCTTAGGAGGCTGGCAGAGAGGTCAAAGACAGAGGAACAGTAGAAATGTCAAATAAACAGACAAAAGAGGGCTTAGGAGGAAGGCATAAGGTTGGAGTTAGCCTGGAAAAAGCCTTACCTCGGGGATGACCTTAGCACTGCCCTTAATTCACTTGAAGGTTTTGTTAGTATCTGGCTGTCTCTCTCGGGTACTGAAGGCAGAACAAAAGGAAAGGACATAAATCTCAGTGGTACAAGGTGCAGGGAATCCTGACAAGCAGGATTAAGATTCACCAGGCAGTCCGCAAGGAGAATTGACGGACTCCTTGCTAGAAGTCTCAGAGCATGGGCTAAGTCCCACCTGCAGCAGGACATCAGGACAACCTGAGGGGTCCCCAGGGGGTGGAAGGTTATGCTATTACAATTGGCCCCAGATAACTTTTGGGGGGTAATAGAAATTCTCTCAAACAGGCTTGTGGTAATAATCATACAACTCTAAAAATTGCACCCCCAAATCATTGAATTGTGAAAAAAAAGAAAGCAATGAGTCTAATAATCTGGGAGTTTTCCATCTGGGCTGGAAGAACGGTTTGGTCCTATAAATCTAGAAGTTTGGCGTGTCTAAAAATGGACCAGACAATATCTAGAATAGAACGACAGTTTTTTTTTCTTCTGCCACATGGGGACACTTCAGAGCTTACATGCAGTTTATTCATGCACAATATCACGAACTGGTGTGTGTGTGTGTGTGTGTGTGTGTGCGCGCGCGCGCTTCGTTTTGACATCAAATTGTTACGAGAGTTACATGCTTTTTTCTTTTTTCCTCTAAAGATGTGTCATGCCAGTTTTTTGGGTAAGTGCAGGGCATAGTTAACATGCATTGAGCTATGATATATATGTTGAACATTATTCATCATATAGGACTATGGCCTTGAGCTTGCCCAAGGAACTTACAGTTTGCTGGCAAAAAGAAAAAAACTCCGAGAAAAGTTCCTACAAACCAAAAACCCCACCAAATCCCTACAGCTGTAAACTCAGGATTGCTTAAGAGATTGCATAGGGCCCAAGGTTTTATTGATGTATATACTATGGTTATTATTTTATTTTTGAATTTTTTGAAATTTTTTTTTGTGGGTACATAAAGGTTTCATTTTTCCTAACCCCCTCCCCACACTCCCCCTACAGTTGTTATTGATGCTTAACAGCCCTATGATGAGGTCCCAGCAGTCTTTGGTGCTTTGGGTAAACAAAAGAAGTGGGCGGTAACGGCCTTCATTTGTCTTACTGAACCTTTCAGTGATTCTCTCCCAGACTCTGATCTCCTCTTGGCCTTCTTCACCTTGTGCCCACCGGACCCTCCCTTCCCTTCCCGTGGTGCTTTCCTCAGATGCACCAGCCAGTCCTGCGGCTTGTCATTTCTCCTCTCCACTGGCTGAGCCCTTGCTTGCGGCAGAATTTCTATCTGCCAGCAACTCGACATCCATTCCAAGATAGATTCCCAGAGAGTGTGGTCCTTCCGGGACAATCTAGCTGGAGCTGCCATCCTGGCTCACATGGGTTTTGACTGTGTGTTATTGCCGTGGGAAGGAAGTGGGGAGGAAAGTGTACTCCAATCCTACCTTGTCACGGTCACTTAGGGGAGGAAAAGAAATCCTTTTACTAGGTGGTAGGAGTTCCTCTCTCCATCTCACTTCGTATTTTGCCTCGGGTTGCACAGAGAGCTCATGGCAGAATAAGGTCTGGAGCTTGGCAGTTGGCAGGGAGAGGGATCTTCCCAGACACAGGCCGTGGGGAAGGAAGACAGATGGGCTGTTAGCCTCTCATCTTGCCAGGTCTCCTGATGAACCACTTCTGTGCTGGGCTTGAGGTCTCTGTGTGGTTGGAGATGGTCATGTTTTTCACGTCCCTTTGCTCTGAACTTGAGAAAGTAGTTCACCCTGCCTCTTGGTCTTCTTGGTCCTCATCCTCTGGCTTCACCTGGTACCCTAAAGGGGGAGTGGAAACCTATCACCGCCGCCTTTGGAGGGTTATCAAAGCGGCGGCTGTGTTTGAAGGTGCACAGTAACAACAGGAGAGTGACTCCCTAGTTTTCAGAACAAAAGAGGAAAAGTTCCCACCCTACAGGAAGTATCATTCACACTGGTCTTTTTTTTTTTTTTTTTTTTTTTTTTGAGACGGAGTCTCGCTCTGTTGCCCAGGCTGGAGTGCAGTGGCGCGATCTCGGCTCACTGCAAGCTCCGCCTCCCGGGTTCACGCCATTCTCCTGCCTCAGCCTCCCGAGCTGGGACTACAGCGCCCCACCGTCGGCTAATTTTTTTTTTTAGTAGACGGGTTTCACCGTGGTCTCGATCTCCTGACCTTGTGATCCGCCCGCCTCGGCCTCCCAAAGTGCTGGGATTACAGGCGTGAGCCACCGCGCCCGGCCCATTCACACTGGTCTTACCTTGGCTATCACTTGACCTGTTTGGGGACTAGCCCTGCTGGGATTTATTACAATTTTTTTTTTTAAACCCAACTCCACCCTCATCATTGTTACTCTAAAGAGAGTTCCTCATTCCTTGGTCACGAGCCTCAGCAGATACACTTTACCTCCTCCTAGAAAACATTTTGGAATCTTAAGCAGCTTCTGCTGTAGGCTGCAAGGAGCGCAGACAGACCCTGGCTCTTTGGTGAGAGCAAAGCCGACATTTCAAAAGGAAATTGCAGCCACGCAGTCTGCTGGCGCTGCTATTTTTGACATGCTTGCTGTTCTCTCAGGGCTTGACAACCGCTGTCTCCAGGAGACAGACAAACCTGCTCTTGGCAGCAGAGACACTGCTTTGAAAAAGAACATAGGAAGACAGTCCTGCAGCTGGGAGGGGCGGGGAGGACTTACCACTGGAAGTGTGGTACCTGGCTAGCGGGGCTGCAGATCTGAGGCTGCAGGATTTATCCTCACCCAGGGAATCCTGACCCTGCGTTGCATCATTCCCAGTGGGAACAGTCCTAGCAAGAATAAGAATGGCGCCATTCATTTACAGAACATTTTCAAACACGTTCAGTGCTTTCAGACATCGTGCTGTTTAACAAAGGGGTTAAGAGCATAGTTGCTGGAACCAGATCGTCGCAGCTCAAATCCCTCGTTTGCTGGGTGACATTGGGCAAGTTATGGAACAGTTCTGTGGCCTCAGTTTCCTTTTCTGTCAAATGGAGGCTAATAATCGTACCAATCTGATAGGGTTGTTTCGAAGATTAAAATAATTAATATATGTACAGTGTTTAAATGTACAATGTCAGCTGTTATTATCATCCTATAGCAATGAAATGAGGTGGTAGGCTAGGCTTTGTTTTTTTCTTTGGCAGGTAAGAAAATTGAAGCTCAGAGGGGTTGTGATGTACTTAAAGGCACACAGTAATGTGTGTTTAATACTCTTCAGGGGACATGAAACCGAATGGAATGCAGTGAGTGTCTAACTGTTATTGGGCGAGAGAATGAAGCCATAGCTCCTAAATGTGTATATAGACTTCTGTTTACATGCCAGCTTGTCTCTGATGGAACAGCAGCAGGTGTCCTGTGCTTTTGTTTCCTATGGGTCTCTGAGTGTGCACACACACACACATATGCATATACACACATAAATATATATACATACATCCACATATATACACACATATATATGCACACAAACCCGTATATACACACACATGTATATACACAAACATAAATATACACACGCACATGTATACACACATATATGCACACACAAACACATATATACACACATGTATGCACAGACTCATATATACACGCTTATACATATACCCACATATATACACACACACGTGGTGCTCTATATTCTATCTCTATATTCTATATGTGTGTAGCGTATATACGTGGAACATCTTTCTATGGAGCCCTTCCTCAGTACCGCCACTGATCTCCCTCTCCCATTTTAACATTCTCAGTGGTTGACACTCCACTTGAGTTTTCCTCACACACCTGCTCATGCCTTCTTCCTTGGGATGAATGCAGGGTCTTATAGTTAGCAGGAGGGACAGAACCCACAAACCAGACCCGGGCCCAGAATTTTCCTACACTGTTCCAGTGGCTTTCAAACTTCCACTGTCCTGGTCCTCATCCTCAGCATGCATTCTGTTCCCCAGTCACCTTCACGGCCCCCTTTGCAGGTGGGGGTACCCCTTAATCTCTCGTGAATGTGTTTCTGCTTTCCTGGTCCTCCATTAAAGTGGAGGAGACAGGAGGCCCTGGAGTTGGAATAATCCAACTCCCCTGCCCTTGTGGGTCTCCACTGGCCTTCACTCCGCCTAAAGAGCATTTATGACGTCTCTTGTTAGGGGTCTTGGTGTGGGCCAGATTGCTGTCTTCACCCTCATCTCACTGCCATAGCCACTACGGCTTCTTACAAAGGTCCCATCCCAGGGCAAGGCGACGTGGCTGCCCTAATGTTTGAGGATTCTGAGCATGCTGGCTTGCCTGCCTTTGGAGTTGGAGAATTGGTCTGAATCACTGTTTATTAGCTGTACCTCATTTAACCTCTCCAAGCTTCAGTTTCGTCATATGCAAAATAAGGAAGCTAACATCACTTGCCTTACACAGTTGCTGTGAGATTCAGAAGAGACAGCCAGTTACAGAGTTTAGCAGGAAATAAACTCTTAGCAAAGCATGGCTCTTCCCACTGCCAATCAGCAGAGGGACCCTCGGAGACACCAAACACCCACCTGAGAGTGGGGCCGAAACTACCTGCATGTCAGAGAAAGGCAGGGTCCTTGCTGACTGCAGTTTTGTTCTCTGAAACAAACATTTAAATGAAATATGACATAAAAAATAGACTCAGGATAGCTAGCTATTTTTACCAGAAGGCTCTTTGCCTAGAGGATTCACAGCAGAATTTCTTTAAATAATTGCACTTACGATGTGATTTAATATACGGAAATATAATCTGAATACATCTTGGAAGAATAGGATGGATATACTGGTAATATGTATATATTTTAACAAAGTTTGTTTCCAGCCAAACTAGAATGAGAATTCTCGCTTAACCCTTCCCTCAAGCCCGGGAGCATTGGAGAGGGTGGTGCTGAGGGTCCCAGATGGAGGGGGCAGTCAATGCCTCTTTACGAAGAAGGAGACTGATGCAGAGAAGTGAAATAATTTGCCCAAGATCACACAGGAAATTAGGGGCAGAGCTGTGCTTGGGACCCAAATTTTCTGACTCCAACTCCAGCATATTTTCCCATGGGAAATGAAACTATAAGAAATTATCTAAACACACACACACACACACACACACACACTTAAAAATAACTATTCATTTTCTGTCCAACCAAACTCCCTAACAGAGCTGTCCATTGAAAATGGAATTAAGTGATTTTTAGTTTTATCTTTCCCTCCCCTGAGTTTCCAGGGCACAGAGGCAGTGGTCGTAGCTACAGAAGCCCAGAACCAGATGACCAGCTTCTGGATTTTTAAGGAAGTACTAATGACTGAGGACTAGTGCAGACCAAAGGTATTTAGCACCGGACAAAGAGAGGCTCATGTACAGGCTCTGGGCTTCTAATCTCACTGATTAAGGGATTCTTTAACCTCTTAAGGCTTTATTTTTTCTGTTTAATTTAGTGACTGGACAGAATAAAACTGTCATAGATTGGAAATCAGGAAAGCAAGGGGTTATCTGAGTCTTCTGTATTTTATAGAGGAAGGAGGGGATGCAGGTCAGCATCTTACCCAGGAGCGTTGACTTCTGATGCCTTGGGAGGCAGAAAGCAGCTTCTAGACTCTTCCCTGCACTTTGTTGCCCTGACAGAGAAAGAGAAGCGCTGTCAGTTACAGAGCTCTTTCACAAATCATAGGACCAGGGTCAGAAAGGAAGAACGTGTCCAGAAGCCCTGGTTGTTGAGGCATAAATCAGCCAGGCACTCCTCAGCTGCTTTAAGGCAATTTGGCATTGGTGGAAAGAGAAACAAGTTCTGATATGGTGGGGAAAATAGCCATGTTCCCTGCAGAAGACTGCTGTCTGTGCTTCAGGGGAAGGATCACGTTCACCCGGGAGAGCGTATGTGTGCACACTCAGGCGCCAGGCACACCCTCCCAACCAGACCCTCTACTCACTTGGAAGTGTGTGTGTGTGTGTTTGTGTGTTTTGTTTTCCTTTTTTGTGCATCTGCAATCTCCTGGTTTATGGTTTTACATGCCTCCAGCAATTCCGAATTGCAATCACAGAGCACCTACCCTAAAACTGGGCAGATTACCTTGTAAGAGGTCCTCAGTTGTCACTTGTGGCTTGGGAGCCACATGGGACACAACATTAAGGGCTATTGGAATATTTCACACACACATCTGGCTTTTTGGTTTCTCTTCAAAGCAAAGGTCCGGGCTTGTTGATCCCACACGTTTGCTTTCCACCCCCATCAGCAAAAGCTGAGGGACAGTGGCCCCCTGCAGAAGGACGTGGGTCCTCTTTGCACAGTGCCCATCACTTCTTAGTCCCTGCTGCTGAGGCTGGGCCATCTGTCATTTTTTTTTTAGGATGGAGTTTCGCTCTTGTTTCCCAGGCTGGAGTGCAATGTCATGGTCTCGGCTCGCTGCAACCTCTACCTCCCGGGTTCAAGTGGTTTTCCTGTCTCTGTCTCCTGAGTAGCTGGAATGAGCGCCCGCCACCAGGCCTGACTAATTTTTTGTATTTTTAGTAGAGAGTGGGTTTCACCATGTTGGCCAGGTTGGTCTCAAACTCCTGACCTGAAGTGATCCACCCGCCTTGGCCTCCCAAAGTGTTGGGATTACAGGTGTGAACCACTGCCCCCAGCCTGTCTGTCAGTTTTAATTGTGCCCCTAGCCATGTTTTTTCGTAGGTGGGAGATAGCTCTCTATGTACATTTCTACCAAAGCTTAGAAAAAGAAAGATGGAAAGAGTATCGTGTTTAGGGAAACCATATCTGGCTTATGTCACCTGGTAACCCCTGGGGATACAGGTGCTTGCGGCCATACTCAGAGCCTTCCTGTGTGACTTCATCTAGTGGCTCAGAATCAATTATCTGACTTAGAAGTAGCAGGTCAGATGGAGATGGGAATATGTGAGTTTGCTGGAAAAAACAGAAATGAGAGCAGAAATGAAGGCTGTTTGCCGGGAGGAGCCGGTTCCAGCTATCCGTGAGAGACGGAACTGTGAGGCTGCACAGAGAAGAAGGCACTGGAGAGTAACAAGAGCATGCCATGTTCTGTGTCCAGGTAAGCAGGCAGGGGAATGTGTGATGTGATTCAGAACTCCCAACTGAAATGATGAAAATGAGAAATCAGGCAAACTTCCGCATTTGGAGATGTGTCCAATTAGAGAACCGCCACCTGTTTCTGTGATCTCAGACTGTGGAGCACTACTCCACTCCTGCTGGCTAGGACCGAGTGGGCGTCAGAGCGGGGATTCATGAGTGGCATCGTGTGGCTTTCCTGATAACCACTGGCCACCCAGCCACGGGCTCTGCATCTGTCAGGTTGCTTCTGCGATGCCATGAGGCCCATGGCCATCCCCAGATTCGATCTTGCCTCTCCTGGGTTATTTCCAGCTGGTTTCAGCTCTCAGGTGGAATCTCCTGTCTTTGAAGCTTTTTGGTCAAAAGGTAAATGACCGTAGATTTGGAACCATGTCTGACATTATTTCCTTCGGAGGGAGAGAAGAAAGGTTTTCCTTTTTTTAAGCTTTGTATTTGCCCTTTCCAGGAGGGCAGGAAATGTTCAATCAGGTTGGGGTTAAATAAAATCCATCATGAGCCTCACATTTGAATGCTGGTAGGCTTCCCTTTTTCCAACAGATGCATTTCCAAAAAGTTGTTTTTGTTGTTGTTTTGTGTGTGTATAATATAATTATTTTCCTATCAGAGGCGCTCTTTAATAGAAGTGGGCCCTTTCACATTAAAAAATCTACACAATATGGTTACACTTAAAAGACAGCATGTAGTCGGTGGAAAAATGAATATAAACTAGCTTGTAATGTACTTCATGCAATCGTGATTCCTTCCTTCAGTGGAAGGAAGAGGGATGCTGTGGCATTGGAAATGATGAGGACTGCTGATCAGACTTGAAAGGAAAAAGAACGTTTTTATTTTCATTGTAGGAACTAGGAGATATTTTTTAAAATATATGTTCAAAAATGGGAACTCCAGCTGGGTGCAGCAGCTCATGCCTGTAATCCCAGCACTTTGGGAGGCCGAGGCAGGCGAATCGGTTGATGTCAGGAGTTCGAGATGAGCCTGGCCAACATGGTGAAACTCCATCTCTACTAAAAATACAAAAATTAGCCGGGTGTGGTGGCGGATTTCTGTAATCTCGGCTACTTGGGAGGTAGAGGCATGCAAATTGCTTGAACCAGGGAGGTGGAGGTTGCAGTGAGCTGAGATCGTGCCACTGCACTCCAGCCTGGGCAACAGAGTGAGACACTGTCTCAAATAAATAAATAAATAATAAAATTAAATTAAATGGGGAATTCCAAGGAACTCTATCATAATCTCTCTTTTTCTTGCTGCATGCAGACTGTAAGTGATGCATTTGCAGGTGGGCAACACTGTGTTTCCCACACCTGTAGCTGTGTCAGGTGAGGCAGGACAGGAGACATGAGGACATGGTTCTGAGCCTCTTAGTCTATCTGTGAACGGTGTAGGCAGAGGGTGATATCTGTCCACCCTGAGGGAGTCAACTCCCAGTGCTATTCCCCACTGGTGTCTACCTGTGTGACCCAGGGAGAATTCAGAATCTCACTGAGCCTTGTTTTTCTCCTCTGTAAAACTGGGCCATTAATAGACATCCCACATGGTGGCCAGTGAATCGGTGGAATTAAAGCAGGTAACGCTAACAGGCCTGGTATGTGGTAAGCATTCAGTAAAAGTTATCATTTCATGGTCTATTTCTTATTTGCCCACTTTGACAGAGTACTGAGGCATAGGCAAGGCCTCTTATCCAAACGTTAGGTACAGTTAAAACCACTCACAGCTCTCCTAAATCAGTCTTTTGGGAAATATGTCTACCTATGTAGACATATTTCTTTCGTTTCGTAGATTTGGACTTTCTGATCCAATAGTGACCATGATTCAGCTATTCAATCACCAAACACTTGGTCATAACAGAGGCGACTCATGTAAAGGGGCTTCCTACCCTCTTAGAGTGAAACTGTTTCCTTGCTAAAAAAGCCAGCAGCAGAGAATATCCAGGGATTTTGTTAAATTCCTAAAGAAAGAACATAAGCAATGAGGTGACTTACCCATTGAGAATCCCTGAGATCAGCGAGAACTTCCAGAAAACTTGGGAATCCACAGAGAGATTGAAGGACTGAGTGTGGAAGGCTCGCATGACTCAGCTATTCACTTGGCTGACCTGTGGGCTGCCATCAGCGGGAGAATGAGCGGGAAGAAATGCACAAGGGTGCGGGTAGGATGCTTTCTCCCCGATGCGCGAGGTCAACACTTTTCTTTGCAATTATAACACAAATCAGTGGAAAACAGACTCAACTTACAGAGGATGCATTGACTTTACCTTCAGCATTTCAGGGATGTATTTAATTTGCAAGCCAGTCAGCTGACTCACTTCATATATCAATCGAGAATATGGACAGATGACATGGAATAATTGAGCAGGAAGAGAATTCTAAAAGTCATGGAATTCATTGCCTTGCTGTGCATTAGAAAAATTTCTAGATTATTCCAGGCTTATTCTGAAAAATGCCCAGAGAAAGAGAATCCATAATATAGACTCCTTCAAGCGACTTGTGTTTGAGCACCCTTTGTCAGGATGTTTTCCTCATTTCTCAGTTAAACATCTCCTGCTGCAGTTTAAATTTCCTTCCTCCTGTTTTGTCTTCTGCTGACATGGATACTCAAGTGACCATATTACCTAGAATAACTCATGCCAGAGTTCCTCAAATGTGATCTGCAGAACATCAGTCCTACACAACTTTCCATGGAGAAAGAATCCCCAGGCACTATGTTTCAGAAATGCTGCCTCTTGGAGATGTACAATGCATATGAACATAAAAGTAAAGGCTCTGAGAAGTCCTGCAGCAGTAAACCTATTTCACTTCTTTAACCCAGTGTTTTTCAACTTTTTAGTTTTTAAAACTTTTTTTTTACCACAGAATCTCCTTCCCCCTTTTATAGTAATGTCTGCTGACATACCCCCAAAACTCATCCAACAAATACATTTTGAAAAACTCGAAGAGATATGAAGCTTGTTGCGATGGATTTGAGTGCACGGAGCCTCAGCCATTAAAGGTTTTTTGAGTTGGACCATTTTGTGGCTTCTTACCAAGCTTCTTAAAGTTCTTCACGCCCCTCTTGAGTTGTGCAGAAACAGAAATGGTGTTTTGATAAGGCTCTGAATAATGTGATAAAAGGCATCCTCTTCCTTATAGTCCTTATAAGTCTTCTTAAATAGAAGTCTTTGAGAAAATAACAGTAAGAGTTGGTCTTGTTGGTTAGCATTCTCCTGCTAGGAAATGGTCCCACAAGATCTTGATGCCACCTCCTGGCCAGGGGGAATGAGGGACGTCTGGCATTGGCCCTTACAGTGTAACAGCCAATTCCTATGCACGTTGTTAACCAAGTCAAAAATTGTAACATGGATTTTTTTTACAATCACTTTTCTAACGAAAACCTATTGATGAAAACATTCATGATAAGCTTTACTAACTATCCTATTTATGAAATCTTCCTCACAATCTGAGAAAGATGCAAATACCAGCAGTGAGTTGTATGTAACTGGGTTTTCTCAGTATTCTTTTCCATCTTCGTAAACACTGTTTTCAAGTGTGACATTTGCCCTTTCTCCCTAAGTATTTTTGGTGCTGACATACCACAGTTGGACCTGGTTCCTCTGGTGCTTGGATTTCAGTCCCCTGGAAAGATGTTTTCTGCTAGGCGTTTTTGTTTGTTTGTTTGTTTTATTGTTTTGTTGTTTTGGTGCTGCTGAGGGCTCTTACCTCTGACCCTCTTCTCATCCAGCAAGGCCTGAGGCTTGCTGTCTGCTTCTCACCCACTGGCCCAGGCTGAAATTCCTACTTCCGTGGTGTCCCTTCTGTGCTCAGAGGCAAAAGCAGAAAGGATGTAATTGCTCTTGTCCTGTTGTTGCCTTTGTACCGATTCCTCTTCTGTACATCTTGAGCCATGAGGAAAAGTTTCTGGTATTAAAGCCACTAAAAGTCAGAAGTGGACTGTGGGGTGGGTGAGGATTGCATCCAGTTCTGCGTCTGTCACTAACCTGCTGTGTGACCCTACCCATGTCACCTGCCTGGCCCTCAGCAAATGGTAGCCATTAGTATTGTTCTCCCACCAGAGTCTTCACTGTAAAGTGAGGTCATTGGATTGGACGACTGGGTTTCTGCCTGAAAATTCTGCGAATACCCAAGTGTATTAATCAGATGTGCAGCTGGCTCCCTGAAAACTTGACAGACTTTATTGCTTGGCTTTTGCCACTGGAGTGATCTTTGAAAAAGAGAGTTGGAGTTACTAGGTTTTCAACTTGATGTAGAATCACTGAATTTCAGAGCTCATATACTCCAGTCTATTATTTTACA